TATTCGGAAAACTCGTCACTTGTAGCTGTGAATAATTTGGTTTATTTGAATTCCGATTTAGTCACCTCTAGGTCAATATTTCTAAACAAAAAACCGCATTTTTCTTAACGTTTTACTGTAAAATACTGGCAAACTGAGAGTCTTTTATGCAAAAAAGTTAAAAGAAGGATTTACAAGAAAAGTCGTCGTCTTTACAGTATAGTCTTCTTTCTCGTCTTTTTCAAATACCCATTTTACCTTTGAATTTGGGACAAAATCGAAACAAAATTATCTTGTTTTTTTTTGGGCAAAACTCAGGTTTCTCCAAAAACGCCCGAATTGAAACACAGTCAGGAGAGTATATGCAGAAAATATCTGAAGATTGTCAGTATTTTAAATAAAAATAATATGTTATTTTGCGTAGAAAGAATTGATTAATAGAAACTTTGCTAATACTGGAATTACCTGAAATTTAAACGAAATGTTAAAAATATCATTGATAAATGGCCCTTAAAATAAATCTAAAAACAAATAAAAAGTCATCAACATTTGCCCAGCGTCGGTGCGTTGGGTTAGTGCGCCGGTGCGTTGGGTTGGCGCACCAATCCATTTGCGTAGCACTGCGCCAACTAATAAAAACTCATTGAGTTACCCAGGCCTACAGGCAAGTGTAAACTCGCCATTATTGTGGTTGATAGACAATATTAAGAGAGCTCATATTGACTCACCTTTGATTCAAACTGTCTCACTTAGCCATTGTATAAAATGTACCCTATTCGGTGTCTTTGGACGATTCGCCTCCACGCGAAAGAAACGCCAATAATATATTTTTATTACTCACTGTGTATCTTCCTAATATTAATTTAATAGGAGCCAGGGCCTGGTTGTGCCTTTGCAAGTAATTCAACTTAAACAGGTGAATGCGTTTACCTGCAGGTGATTGTCATTGTCCGCCTGCTGTCTCGTAATTTTTTTCTATGTTTCTAAGTGATTATGCAAAATTCCCAACTGAAAATCGTTTGTGAGTGAGTGGCCACGTGGCTGTTTCGACCCTTTATCGCCGCAAGGCACCATTTTCAGATAATGACGATTGTGTGGACTTGCGAGGCGGCCTCAACCCGACAAAGCGAATGATGTTGGAGTTGGAACCGCGCAGCGCTCAAGAGGCGCGCAATGAGTATGTAGGCCAAGGGCTGGCGCACTAAGACTAATGTAGTCGCGCCTTTTACAGAATAGTGAACAGTGCTCTGAAGAAACTGGCCAAAACTTACCACTCCAATACCCAGACCAATCCCAGGTGGAAACCTCGGGTAAGGGAGCGCACTTATGATGTGCCGCTCAAAAGAAAGTAGGCCCCAGCTAGGCAAAGGAAACCGCTGCGTCTACAAAGTAATTTAGAATTTCAGGTGGGCGGGCTGGGATCAAGTCCAAGTCGGAGCTGCTGACCGCAATGAAAAAGCGCCAAAAGTGCAGGAATCCATCGTCCAGCAGTCCAGTGATTCAACTGTAATCCCCTTTGGCTTAAGGCTTTCAGACAAACTATACACGGTTTTCTGCAGCTCCGGTAGGGGCGATGTGGCGTCTCAGCTGGCACCGAGCAAAAACACCTTTACAATGGCGAAGCCAACCAGGGCGGATAACCAGGAGCGCAGCAAAGGAAAAACGCTGATCAAAGACAAGTCGCTGGAGTAAGCATATAAAGCGGGTTTCACGCGAAAGGTTCACACCCAACGGTTCCAGGAGACTCGTCGACCAGTTGCCCACGGATAACTCTTCGCAAGAAATCACCAGGTATTAGCTAACGCTACGTATTAAGCCCGTGTCCCATGCATCCGTTTGTACGATGATACGATGGTACGAAAGTGTTTCTATTGGTTGGAGATCTGTCAATTCGTCCACGTCRTACGACGACGGACGAATTGACAGATCTCCAACCAATAGAAACACTTTCGTACCATCGTATCATCGTACAAACGGATGCATGGGACACGGGCTTTACCTTGCGCTTTAACAAACATTCCAGAAACCATTACTGGAAGGATCAGCGCCTGATCGAAAAATATTCCCTGCTGAAAATTCCCTGGAAGCGCTCCCATACGCTCCCTCTATGCGCCTCCAAGCCGTCCATGGCCTTAAAGCAGGACTTCCTCCGGAAGCTCAAACAGCAGTGCGACAAGAAAACGTATCTCTACGACGATGGAACTGATATTGACTCCACCATGCACATTGACCTGAAAACCTCGCAGGGTGGGGCCGGGAATGACCCAACGTTTCAAACCCGCTAATCCCGGATGAAGTGTTTCAGGCTCGGCTATCACCGGGGTTGAACATCAGCGCTCACATCTGGGCCCTTCTACTGATTGGGCTGGTGGTTTGGTTCATGTGGGGCAACAAACTGTACAATCTGCTGGCGCCCAAGCCGCCAGAAAGCCCCTTTAAGAGATACATGAAGTATGCTGGAGGGAGCATCTTTTACACGATAAGCAGTATTATTAGGTTCATTGGGAGGATATTGGCTATTCCGGTGAGTGACGATAGGGATGTTCTGGGGGATGCATCAGCTTTGTTTCAGACCCATCAAGTCTTCCAGCCGGCCAACGACTACGTTTGGCCCCATTAGCGTGATGGTTTAACTGTACTGTGTTCGGGTCGTCAATAGAAAACCCCAGTCGAAAATGACGTTATATTTTCTCAAAATAACATCCCTGTGACTTACTTAACTAAGCCCTCCTGTTGTTGTAGTTGCCAGTGGGCTGCAGCAGTTGCAGGCCGCTGATGTTGTTGAACTCCAACATCCTCAACATTTCCTTGGTTTCTGCATCAACCTCGATAATATCGTGCTCCAAGGCAGATACTTCGGGAACGTAGTTGTCCCGCCTTTCACGCTCCTCTTCTTGGAGTTTTATTGAAATTCCTCGCACCTGCGAATGCCTCAACCGCTTCATCAAGTGGGTAACGAACCCGGCGATCTTGTTGCGAAGGGGTTTAGTCGGGATGATTGCGATTTCATCGCAAATCCGTTTATTCGTGTGGAAATCAAGGGTTAATCGCGTGTAGTACTTCTCGATGATCACTTTCGAGGCCTTCTTCACGGTCTTGGTACGAACACGACCCATTTTTCTAGAATGCAAATTGGGGGTTTAATATTGGGGCTATTTTCGACCCTGTGGGGCTTTAGCTTACCTTTAATTTGCTTTAATTCTGCGGCTAAAACGAGCAACACGTGTAAGTACGCTTAGCGGATATCGGAAAGACAGTTGAGAGCAAAATGGCGGTTATGACAGCCCCTGCGCAGTTGCCAACATAAAGTAAATACAATATTTTGTATCCCTAGTGTTTGTGTCAAGAGAATGCAATCAGACAACTATGGTAGTCTCTGTGCTAGGGTAGAGGCTGTGGTGCGAACTAGTTTAAAATGTTCAGTACTGTTTAAACTCCAGTTTCTTCTTTATTTTGGGCCCTGGCCATCTCCACTAATTATCCCTTTTTTTAGCATACCTCCTATGAAAAATGCTGTTTTGTGTTTATAAAAAATAAATCCTGTTGCGGAACCCTCGCTCTGTTAGTTCACCCAGCTCTCGGCGAGGGCATGTTTCCAATGTTAACATGGGAATCTGTCGTCTCACTCTCTCTTGGCTCGGCAGTGTGCTTCTGTCTTTATCCATGTTTGACACTGCAATTTGACCATAGTTTGACACTAGCTTATTAATACAACATAGGATTGTTGATTGAGTAAATTTGTTGTTAATTTAGCAAATTGAATTAGTTCCTTAATGACTTCTGGCAAAGAAACCATGGGGTAAGTGACCGCCCAATATTCCCCCTTTGTTTCAGTCATTCAGTGCCCCATCAACGCCCTCAATTGCCTCAATGCTCCGGTTATCACACCCATTCCTTATTGCTTTTCCTGACCTTAAAGTTTTATTAATGAATAATTCGAATTGTTTTGGCCAGCCAGTGCCACACATGGGGGGCATGGATTGTTACGTTCTTATTTATTCCTGCTTTGTCCCGATTGCTAATTATAGCTGGAGAGAATGGAGGGCTGCACGATTTTTAACTAGTCAAATCATTAACGCAAGGCTCCGAATTGAATAGTTTTATGGGGTTTTTTAGTGGTCAGTGGTTTTACGCAAGATTGGCAAAGATGTTTTTGCCCATTTTAATTTCACAGCCGGTTAGTAACGTAATGGGTTTGTCTGTTGGTTGCAGTGAGCAGCCGATTTTCACCTGCAAGGCTCACGTATTCCACATTGATCCGAAGACAAAGAGGTCTTGGATGCCCGCCTCGAGTACGGCCGTAAGCGTGTCGTTCTTCTACGACTCGTCACGTAGCCTCTACAGAATCATCAGCGTTGAGGGCCAAAAGGCGGTCATCAACAGCACAGTCACTCCAAACATGACGTTCACCAAAACCTCCCAGAAGTTCGGCCAATGGTCGGATGTGCGAGCAAACACCGTCTACGGATTGGGCTTTTCCTCAGAGGCCGAATTGCAGAAGGTTTGCGACCTGGTGCTAACTCGATCTGCGTTCTAAACTCAAGTTCTGTGCAGTTCATTGATAAGTTCAATGAGGTGAAAGAGGCCACTCGCTCAGCAATAAGCAAAGTGACTGCGAATGGGGGCTCGGCAGTGACGCCCGTTACCAGCGCCAACGCGAGTCCCATCAATGCCCGCGCCGCCGGCACTGTTCAGGAGAACGCGGATAATCTGCTCGAACCTCCAGGTGCTTTGGACTCACTTAGCTTGTGCAAACATGCTTCTTATCTTATCGCCGCATGTTGTAAAGTATTAAGTTTCAGTCGCTCTTGGTTTAGGCAGCGCCGCACTTCCCAACTCCAGCCCAAAGCCAGAACCGGAGGAAATCGTGCATGGGCGCAGCCACTCCCTATCGGGAATCCAAAGCTCCGACAGTCCCAGCCATCAGCTCAAAATGGACAAGGCCACCTACGGAAGCACTGGCAGCAATTCGGAAATGCAATTGAAGTATGAAAACGATCGCCTCAAGCTGGCTCTAGCGCAAAGGTAAGCAGCAGCTGATTGAATCGAGCGTTTAATTTTGCTGACGCCCAGGAAATGGTTTCAGTTCTGCCAATGCCAAAAAATGGGAAATTGAGCTCACTACGCTGAAGAGCAACAACGCCCGTCTCACCAGCGCCCTCCAGGAAAGCACGGCCAATGTGGAGGAGTGGAAGCGCCAACTAGCCAGCCTCAAAGAGGAAAACATGCGCATGAAGGCCAAGTACCAGAACGACTTGGAGAACAGCAAAGGTTGGACCGATCAACACCCATTAAGGGAGTAGACCAATGCACTAATTGGGCCGCCTTTTCAGGTGGAGGAGAATTAGGCGACGAACTGCGCAAAGAAATCCAATCGCTGCGGATAAAAGTCGAACAGCTCGAAATGGAGCTGCAGAATAAAAACGAGGAAATCAAAAAGCTGAGCTCGGGCGGCCGGTTGCCGGACATTCAGGTAAATGCCTCCATTCTCTGTGAGCGCCTGGACAACCATCTCGGACGGGTTTCAGGCTTTGCAAAAGGATAATCAGGAACTGCAGGCCACCGTGAAATTGACGCAATCCGAACTGGACATCGCACTGAGCGCCCACGAGTCTCAGAAGCAAATCCTGCTCACGCTCAATCAGCAATTCGCAGCCCGAATACATGAACTGGTGACCATACACGACGAGATGGCCACCGCCCTGCAAACCTGAAACGCCTTCATGAAGGGCTAGAAACAAATTGGTAAGTGGGGTACGTGTATGGACGGTTCGTTGTCTAGAATCGCTGTGAATATGGCTTTAGATTATTTAAGTATTATCAGCAGTAGTATTAATTGATATTTAATTGTCGGCCTTGCCGAACAGTATATTCAGCCAATATTTAAATGTATAAGTCGAGTAGTTATCTCCCTTGATTGTTTCAATCCTAAACGTACTGTATATTGGGCTTGATCCAAGCGCAGTTATTATTCTCTTGGAGCAGGCGGGCTTTAACCAACGTTAAATTGGCTGCAAGTAGAAACTATTGAAGCTATTGGGAAATTCAAACCCGTAATTGAACTGTCTCGGTTAGAATTCCTTAATTTCATATGGATTTATGTACAGTAGATGTTAGTAGCGGCTTGATAAAGCGAGCACCGTTCACGTGGGAACCTGCTTCGAATTGACTGATTTACTAAGAAAGGCGGCAGGTATGAACTATTGCGCAATTATTACTGGAAAGTTCTCATCGAAAACCATTTAAATTTACTTGATATTTACACCTACAGCAGCGTGTTTCTAAATAGGATCATGTGCAAAGCACGAGATTTCTACAGGGTGCTACCCGCCCTGTATATTTCTTCTGAGCCCCGGTATCTACCATAAAACTGTTCACATGATTAGTATTGTTTGCCCGATTTGCGTTGATTTAATTGATGGTTTGATGTTTAGTGATGTAAACCGAGTTGCAATAGTGTATATTGATACCATACAGGGTGGAGAAAACAATATGTATTGCGATTGCAAGAGGGTGGCTTCACATTCAGCAGGTCGTAACTTTTGACGGCCTGTTTAATGTGGGTGTGATGTTTCAGCATTAGCATAGAGCTGGTTTGTTTTAGACTGTTTGTACATTTGATTCTCTTTGTGCTATATTAGCATCGATTTACAGAGTTTTCATGTTTGATTTTTTACATTTTTTTTAAATAATACAGTTTGTTTACCAGATTCTGTGATTTCCTGTTTTTTCCTTGAAACCTTCGCAATCCGATTTCATTGATATTGCAATCACTGCAGGCACTAATATTTGCTATATTTAATAAAACCGATCTCAGCACGTGGTTTTTCACTTTTGTAGCAAACGAATGGCAATGTCAATATGTAGTTAGACGGGCGGTAGGTGAATCATCGTTCTGGTGCAAACAGCGGCTTAACATTATTGAAACGGAAAGTTCATCACTCACTAAACTGGCAAAAGTTGCCTAAATACTTGCAAAATGTGCCTGAGAAAACTCTCCATCGATCTGGAACTAGTTGTTGGGTGGTTTTCCTCAAAAAGACGCAATTTACGCATGTCTCTTTATAATCTGTTTTAATAGTATGAAAATTATTACTCTTGATCAATTTGCAGTAAAAGGCGTGAGGAAATTCTGCATGTCCTTTTTCAGAGACTGAGGTAAAATACCCGACAACAATCTTAAATCGTCTACAAAATGAGCCTCAAACGAACAAAATTGCAGCCAAATATAAGCAAAACAAACAGTGAAGGGTTTTGCCAAAAAAATACCTAAAACAAGCGAATTTTACTTTAAAATAAGCGATAGTTAACATTTTTAGCTGGCAAAAACGAGCCTGAAAGAACTTTAACCAATCGAAAAACTGAGACCTGAGTGCAGAAATACAACAATTAGATTATGGAATTTCAGCTCATACAAATACACATAAAAAATTACACACATTTTTCAACTCTGACACATTTTCCTTTGCTTATAAAGTTGCGGTTGCCCAACACTCTTTAGATAGGAAGAAGGGACTGAGAGTCTGAAACAGGCCTTAAATTGAGATGCCGACAAGAAGAAAATCATTCAAATAATGCAAAATAAACCGTGAAAACCCGATGAAAAATAAAAATAAATGCGTATAAACAATTAAGGCCGCAATTAAGACCCTAAAAGGAATCTAAACCACTTTTTCTATAGGTAAATTTGCCATTTGAAGCGCCACGAATAACCACCTAAAAGAGACTGGGATTAACTGGAAAATTGCAATTTGGCTTATTTTATAAAGCTGCATTTTCTGGGTTGAAGCGCGGTTAAAATGCGAATGGAATGGACGCATGAAAAGGGAAAACCATCCAAATGATGCAAAATAAACCGCAAAGGAAAACTGCTGATAAATTTGCAGTTATCCATAGTATATGTAGTTTGTTAACAGTCGGTGAATCCTCGTTCTGGTGTGAACGGCGGTTTAACATTGAAAAATAAAAGTTCATTACTCACTAAACTGGCAAAAGTTGCCTAAATACTTGCAAAATGTGCCTGAGAAAAATCCCCATCGATCTGGAGCCAGGAGTGGAAGTGGAGGTAACAAAGTAAACAGTTTTTCCAAATTTTTGCGTTTTTACCGTCCCACTTAGTCCAATGCTGGCACTGTTACAGCGTGAAAGCAATCTCGTGTTTTTTTGGTTCGCATTTATTTTCAATATCTAATAAAAAATTAGTGTGTATATAATAAATATCTAAATAGATTTCTATAAATACGTTGCTAAAACAAATAAAAATCGGTTTTGGAAGTTTCGAAACGCTACGATTATAATAATAATAATGATAACAATTCATAACACAATCAATATAAAACAATCTTCTAATAGCAAAATGATGAAACTAATACGCCAATGGGATCGTCTCGTCCAAATAATCAATAATACGCTCTACTTATTTAAAATACATACAACATTCAATGGCAGTAACGAGCTATCATCTCTCTAATCAACACTAATCGAGAACGGGTAAATAGTGCCCAAAAATGGATCATCTGGACACCCAATCCAGTGGAAACTGTGCTGAAACTATCTATCAAGAAACCGTCTACAGCTGATTTGCAATAAAGCGCTCACGCGTCTGGATGGAATCATTTGGATTATGCAGGTAAAACGCTCCTGAAGTTCCTTTTAAATTTTTGTAGAAATGCGCCCATTAATGGACAAAAAAACAAGTGCTCTCAGAGAGACAGCCAAAGGATGGTGAAATTCGACAATGTACAGGGTGTTTCCTCATATGTTGACACCCCCTCCTATTTATTTCAATTTTTTAAACCCGAATTTAAAATGAAAATATGAAACACGGAAATGTTTGTCTTTTATAGTCGTTTTTTCAATGAAACACCCTATATATTTTTATGAGAAAACCCTGTACAAAAAAAAAATGAAAAAATCACTGAACATCGAAGCCGGCAAGGAAAACTCGGTGTGCTCATCAAAATGCCCCAGCAAAAATAAAAGCTTCAAGCAACCAGGTCTCATAAATGAACGGGCTTATATTTCTCCATAAAACAACCAATAAACATCCGGCATATGTAGCGGTAAATGTTCGGCGAGGGGCGCAAAGGGCGAGCTTCCAGGGCCCAGTCTTTACGTAAGGCGGCCTGCCACTCACTTACCTTACGCAAAGGAGCGCTTGGTTACTTGCGGGGTGAGTAGCGCGGGCTGGTGGGCATGTGAGAGAAGCTGCGCATTTCGTAGTTCTTCTCCATATCCAGCGCTGTGGCAGTGTCCATGTCGGCTTTCTTCATTATGATCATCCGAATGTCGCTGTGCAGGTAGATTTTGCCGGACTTTGAACTCATAAACCTGCAAGGGCCAATCGAATTCAATTCAACCCCCCGCGAA